ACTAAAGTTATATGTGTGACCAATTGTACTCTTATTGATGTAACAAAGTCAAGGGATGCCTATTCGACTTTTGATAATTGAACTGAGAAGTTAATAAACCATGCCAGACCCCAAAGTGGTCATCTTAATATTAAAAAAAAAAAAAAACAATAAAATAGAGCACCATTTTGTAATATACAGAGTATTGATCGGATTCATATCGATTACCTAATTCAGATCTTATTTTTTACTAGATTATTATAAAACCGGATATATATTAGGTTTTTAATAAGCTTATCGGCATACTGGTAAGGCAATTAGGTAGTCGATTTGTTTATAAAATTCGTATATTATACATATTCACAGATTTATTTATATTTCACTTATATTATATTATTAAAAGTATTGTATGTATATATTCAAATTAGAACTAAATGATAATTAATACATGCAATTGTAGCAATAATACATATTGTTTATTAAACAAGAAGCAATATCTAAGCTATATGAAAAAGCTAATCTGAAATTCTATTTAATTGTTCAATATCGCTTCATGAATAATTGTTCTATCTATAATGCTATTAGAATAAAGTCTTAATATATCAGTATTATAGTGAGTATAAAAACTTCAATGATAAACAAAGCTAAAGTTCAAATTATAAATCAAGCTTATTTCTCTAAGACAAAGTACATCAGCATCTATTAATAGAACTGCCGTTAGTTTTACCAGAATTGCAATTGAGTTGATTGGAATTATTGTTCTAGGCATTATCATAATCGTCATTATTGTTTTGGATATTATCATTATCGTTGTTATCATCTTTGCTATTGTTATCAGCTTTGTCAGTTGCTTTATCAGTAGTATATACAAAATTATTGGTGGTTCTTCTACCTCTATTACTGTTACTTCTGTTACTGTTACTACTACTTGTAACTACTTCTTCATCAGAAATATAAAATGCAGAAATTGTCCAAGCAGATGCCTTTTCAGGAGGTTTTGATTTGTCTGCCTATCTATTATTTTTGTACTAACGTTTCCTTAAACATTGTATTTTGGAAACTTTTTTGCCATTTCGTCAGCTAACTACAAAATTTTTTTAATCTATCATCAATAGAATAAAAAAAGAAATTAATAAAATAAATTTAAAAAGTATAATAAAAATTATAATTTGTCTAAGAGATTAAAAAAAATAATAATAATAATAAAAAGTTTGATGACAAAATGTTTACTTACTTTACGCGATCTCTATAGCTTATCATAAATATGAATTACATAATTATCAGTTTTGTCCTTAGGATATATTTTTAGACATTTCTCTGACAACATTTGCTCTATGTCTGTTTTAGAAAGTTTGTCAAAATGAAAATCTCTTTCATTAATTATATTCTCAAGATCAGCTTTGAAATCGTCAAAATCCATAAAATCTGCAAGTTTTTTAAAGTTACTATCGTATATGATTAACACTCCAAATTCACCTTTTTTTTTTCTATAATAATAAAATTTAATTATAATTAATATTGCTGACCACATATTTCTATAAAAATAACTTAATAACCTTAACACCTACATCAGATTGTCTACTATTTACTTCTATTTTTTTTTTATTAGCTTTCGATTTCTCTAGATCCTGGTCTATTTAATATTTTTCATGTTGGTAATGGTGAAGTTGTTGGAGAATGTACTTAAGTTCAATAAGTTTGTATTTAAAATAACCCTCCAAAGCCATGCTGATCGCTAGCATAGTTTTTTTTAAACATGTGATGGGAAATTTCTGACCATCTTTTGTTTGGATCGAGCTATAGAGTATCATCTAGTCCACTTAAAATATTAATTACTTCATTCTATTAAATAAATATAATAACAAAATAATAGTATTGTTATAGAACAGTTTATTATTTTATTAGTTTATTATTCCGATATTGTATTTTATTATTTATTTTATTA